TTAGCCAAGGATTTTAAGATGAAAACGTATTAGTTCCCCAATTTTATTTGGATTTCGTGATTAAGTTTAGTTTAAACCTTATAGTGTAAATGGATTGTATCAATACATATGAAAAAATAGCTTTGAATCAATTAAATCATTGATACTTGTAAGGTGTTTGTCAAAATGACAATGTGAATTCTGTCACTTTTGTCAAAAAAAGCCACACTATATCCTTGGAGCAATTAACTAGATGCATATGTGTGCATTTTTTGAAATTTGAACATACAAATTCAAGTCATATTTTATGGTAATACATATGAAAAAGAGAACTTTGAATCAATTAAATATTGATGTGTGCAAGGTGTTTAACAAAATAAGAATGTGAATTCTTCACTTTTCTATGAAAAAGTAACATTATATCACCTTTTTTTTTTAAAAAAAGTCAAGGTATCTTATTGGAATAATTAACTAGATGCATACGTGTGCGTTTTGGAAATTTGAATGTACGAATTCAATCCCCATTTTATGTCAATACATATAAAAAAGAAAATTTTAAATCAATTACATTCATACATGCAAGGTGTTTGCTCAATGAGAATGTAAATTCTGTCACTTTTATATGAAAAAATGACATTTATTCTGTCAGTTTTTTCAAAAAAAAAGTTACAGTGCCTCATTAACTAGACTCAAATTACTGTCCCTTGTTCGGTATATTATACAACAGATATGTATATTCAAACCTATAGTGAAATAATTTTTCCACTTGGATATCACAATGACTGGAATTTACCGAATGAGGTAAAAGCAAGAGTAGTCTTGACTCCTAATCCAAAAAGAAAATCCGAAAGACCTAAAGAAAAAAAGATACCATCAAAACGAACGAAAATCCAAAGTGCAAAATGTGAAAGATGTGCGAATAATGGCTACAATTGTAAATCATGCCAAAATCCAACAAATGTAAAAAAGAAACCACAAAAGAAACGAAAGTTGGAAGACATGAAACCAGATTATTTGATATTTTTTGTTTTAGAATATTTTTCAATTCAAATTTTTTTTTTTTTTTAAAAAGGGTCAATTATGAAGTTTATTATATATGTGACTTTGTTAAAAAAAAGTGACGATGGATTTTGATGGAGATGAATTTCTTAAAAAATGGTTTGGTATGTGTATGTTTATGTGAACATCGATATCATACTTTGAGAGTATTTTGTGGAAATTAAATTTAGATTTTTAGTGGATTGTAATAAAAAAATTTGAAATGCGTGGTTGAAAGATGTGGGACCCATGAAAGATGTGATTAATATTAATTGTTTGACTTTGATTTAGATTAAAATCAGATTTTAATCTGGCCCAAATAGACCTTTCATTAACATTGGAACCACAGTTAGAAGCATTGTTACTTGATAATCGATCAGGTTCCAGCATCCTCCGCTCAGCGTTTCAGCATGAATACAAAATATCAAACTACCACAACCAGATACACGTCACTTTTTTGTTAAAAAGGTAACAGGGTGTCACTTTTTTGACATGTTAAAAGCTACAAACATGTCTTGCTAAACCAGATGATATAGTGTATTTTGACCTTGGAGTAGTAGGCTAGGTTCGACCTCGATTATGCCATGTGATAAACAAGTCACTACTGTGTTAAAAAAAAAGTGACAATGTCATTGTTTTAATTGTCACTTTTATTAAAAATGTGACATTATGTCATTTTTTGTTCTACAAACATGTTAGAAGCTAAATACTAGTACTAATATTGATTAGCTACATCACCAACTTCCCTGATCCATTGATATTGAAATAAAAACATGTCCAAAAGTTCAAAAATTAACAAGTGAACATGTCTTGCCACTATTAACATTGTCACTTTTTTGTCCAATCAATCATTACATACATCAACTACCAACCAGTTTATGTACATCCACAAAAGATTCTAACAACTAAATCAGTCATTACATAACAAGACATGTCAACTTCTTCAAAATCACCTTCTTCTTCTTATTCTTCAAAATCAGTCTCCTTTTGACACCCATTC